TCTGCCCTTCCAAGTCCTGCTGATGAGCCAGCCTGGCTGTGCTGTCATCAGCAGTGCCCTGGAGGACTGTGGACCTGCCTGGCTTAGGAACTGGACTACCGAGGGCTGGCTCGGTTCTGACACTCCGTTGCCAAGCATGTCACCTTGGAGCCAGTTCAGCAGATTGGAAATATGATCCCGTTATCGCTTCCGATCACCATCCATGACTCCTGCTGGAAAATATATATTAAGATATTTAGGAAAGATGGCTGGGAACATTGAATATGGGAATTTGGTTGCCATATCCACCTACAAAATACACAATCACGACACTTTATAGTAATCCTGTGAAGCAACTTGAGATGTCTCGCCATCGTGAAAGTCATTATATGAAATGTAAGGATAACTATTATTACTTTTAGGGTTACTTGATAGAGTAACCAGTTGTTATGTCCAGAATATTGAAGCACAGTTGGAATATTCCATTGGTTAGGACATGGGAAAATGTGAGAAGCTTTTGCACCTAAGGTATGGATCAATCAATATTAATAATCCTAGCATTTATTAGAGTGACTTTCACATTAGGAGGATGTTCCAAAGTGCTTCACGGGGCATACTGGAAAGTACGGTGAATGTATTTGTGGGTAAACACAGCAGCCAATTTGCACACAGCAATGTCCCACAAACAGCCAAGAAATGAATAACCAATTTTATTTTGGGGGATGTTGGTAAGTACACCAGGAGAAACTCCCTTCTCTTTTTGAATAGTACCATGGGATCTTTAACGTCCATCCGAACAGACAGATGGGACCTTGGTTTTCATTTCTCATCTGAAGGACAATGCATCACACCCACTAGCACTGCATTGGAGGGTTAGCATATACTATGTAAGTTCAAGTTCCAACATGGGGCTTGAACCCACAACCTTCTGACTCAGATGCAAGAGTTCTACCTCTGCGCCAGGCTGACAGACAATGAAGCCCTCAAGAGAAGATCATGAATGGAGAGTTAATTAAATACAGAGTAATGGGATTTCATAGTTCTATATGTCACAATGTTCAAAGAATACTTGGGTGGGCTCAATGCTCTGGTTACATTTTGTTGAATTTTTGGAAAGGATCGATTTTCGGTTTTGGCATTACTCATTTTGTATTCAAATATTAACTTGTTTTGCAGTATTGTGAAAAATTGCTGGCAATGTTTTTTGGGGGTGGGAGAGGAGGGAATTTAAGAATGTCATTGCCTGATATGAATCAGAAAGATCTGCAGCTGCTCTGTGTCAGGACCTGTAGAATTACATAGAACATCACAGCACGGAAACAGGCTATTCAATCCAACTAGTCCACATCAGGGTGAACACTCCACCCCTTCTAATGCTCACATACTCCTTTGTTCTCTTTTCTCCCATGTATGCACAATTGCTTAGGTACATTTATGTTGCTTAGTATTGAATTATATCAGTGAAGCAATGTGAAGCAACAGAGTACCTAAACTCTGTGTTCATCTGCAAGCACACCGGGACGCTATCCTGCATGAAGGGCGCTATATAAATGCAAGTTGTTGTTGTTTTTGGGTTACTGGGCCCTGTTTCAAAATAACCTTAACTGGAGTTCAATGAAAAGATGCTGTCTGATGTCTGTTTGACATTCAGGTAGTTACTAAAGTAAGGGCAGAGTTTTGGTGTCACTGATGCGTTACCTCATGTTACATGAAACTTTGGCATTGGCTGTGTGAGGACATGGTGTCTCTGTCAGACTCTGCCACTGTCAAGCGTTCCAGACGCTACCCTGCATATAAATGCAAGTTGTTGGTGGTGGTGATGAAGAGCATGCTGATCATCCTGTCCTATCAGAACAAGCTTCTGCCGAAAATATTCTAGTAGGAAGATGGGAGAGGAATGTAACGATGAAGGAACTTTTCATAGAGCTTTATCATGTTGAAAAACACTTCACCATTACGGCACTGTCGAGAGTGACTACATTAAAAAATAGTGTATTTTCTAGTTTCTGTAGAAACTATTTTCTACACTGGAAACTATTTTACTAGGCTATAGTCATTTTTGCACGCTGGAATCTACAAATGTCATGGGTATATGACCAGTTCATTTGGAGCATTATTGACCCAGGCACCAGGAGAACCTCTTCTCGTATTTTAAAGTGTTATTTTTTTTAATGTCCACATGAAAACAGGCAGGTTGGACCTCAGTTTAATATCTCAACAGAATGACAGCATATCTGACATTTTTGTGCACCCTCCAGTACTTCACTGGAGTCTCAGTCTGGCCCAGGAGCTTAATTCTGAACGGGGAGCTTGAGCTTGAGCTCAGGCCCTGAGACCAGTAAATAGGACTGAAATACATTCGATTGTTGGCTTGATATTTTGGTCTGGAAACTTGAAATATGCTTGTGATTGACAGTAAATCTTCAGTTATCGAATGAAGGATTTTGAATAGTTGTTCTGCATTGCTGTGCTGCACTTTCTGCCCAAGTATGCTATCTGGGACTTTATGCTTGGTATAAATGCTCTTCAGTAAAAGACATTTTTTTCAAGTCTATAACAGCATGAATATTGGAAGAAATGAATAAGAAACATCAATAGCAGACAGGACAGCATGATTACTGCAGGAAATCGGTTGGAGATCACTGATATCCCAAATAAACAAGAAAAAACCTGCTATGTTTCATCTGACAACACACTGGCATGTGCACTGTATATGGTGTTTGTGTAGAACATAAGGAGAGTCAGCGCCGTTGTGGTTGAATCCAGCCCAGATATGTGTTTGACCTCCTCCTCTCATTAATTACTGATAGGCACAGAATTGATGCATATTATACTCTCATTCAGGCTATCAGAAGGTTCATCTGATAATCTATCAACTTCATTGAGACATCTCAAAGTGCTCACTCTAGCAGATGAAAGTGACAGCCATTTTGCATGCAGTACTATGTTACAAATAGCCATTGGATTCTCTCTCAAAGAGATCATGGGGAATCGGGTGTCAGAAATGAAGAGGTTGTGCTGGTGTTGGGGTGCATGCTATTCTGGGGCTCATTGGTCATTCATTTCATGGCTGTTTGTCGGACATTGTTGTGCACAAATAAATTACCAGAATTTGTCACTAATTGTTACAGTAAATATTACAGCAAAGTCACTAAATGTTACAGTATAGCCTGTCAAGCACATTGAGTCATCCTCCTGGCATGAAAGCGGTATATCAAATGCAAGGATTATTATGGTTACAGTAAACCTGGTTTACCTGATTCTGGGTATCTGGAATTTGTCCCGAGTAGGACCAGGCCAGAAACCGAAGAAAATTATTTGCATTATTTGCGTGGGTAGACTCCTGCCAGCCCAACTCTCAAACACGCGCTAACATGTGCATCCCACAGCTTCCCACCTCACCGTCTTTCTCTGGCGTCTTTTTTCTGTGTCCGTCTAGGTGAGTGACTATGTTTTTTAGGTAGAAATGCATATGCAATATCGGAAAATACCGGTAAATCCATTACCTTCATTTTCCGGCACTATATAAGTATTTTTTGCATTACCGGCATTGTAATTAAATTTAGCCAGAAATTCCAGATGCAATAGAATACAAAATTACATTTGTATAGAGGGCCTTTCACGCCGGGAGGGCATCTTCCCCACTCCCCACCTCCCCGCGCCCCCCCATGGCTGTTTGCAACACTGCGTGCAAAATGGCTGTCACATTTGGCAAGCCAGGTCTTATATCTGTATGTTACTCTTCCCTTGCTCTACTCTTATTGGTCTGTAGAAGCGTTTCTCTACTTTCCAGGCAGTGTAGACATTGCTGGCCTGAAATGAAAACCTGAGATAGTTCAAAGTATTGAAGTGTTCAATTCTCCAGTACTCTCGTTGCTCACCTTGATGAACACATGCAAAAACAACTGATGCTTGAAGATCTTTTATTGTCTACCAGTTCTTTAAAATTGAGAGTAATGTACTGGACGGGGTACGATTCATTGGTTTTACAGCGCTCACTGCGGCATTACCTTAACTGACAGTAGCATGAATAAGAGAATTCTTGCTTTTAAAGCCTCCAGTTGTGTTCAAGTAAAATGCTCTTTAACAGAGTTTCTTAAACCTAATCTGGTTGTCTGAACCTAGATGTTACTGTAGCAGGCATTTCTTTTTAGTTATTTTTCCTGGTTTTACAGCAGTTCACAAAGAGTTCACTGGAGACTGGAAAGCAGATTTGGTTCTGATTTTGGAGCCTGTCTGGTTCTGCGTTGTGTGCAGTAGAGGCAGGATATAATTGCGCTTCTTTCTCTTAGTGCACAGAAGCTGTATGGCAACGCAGGTCACGATGGAGAAACCCAATTGAATTTATTTTTCTTGCTTGTTTGAAATGGAGCCAAATAACTTGCGTGGGAGATCCTCAATTCAGATCTAATCTTGTCCGTTCAAATGCAGAGCTTCTCAGATGGGATTATAATGTGATTTGAAATCATTGTTATTAATAAGAGATTCATAGCCGTTCGCTAAATAAAGCCCTGCCATTGAAGATAAGAGCCCTGGCCAAGGAGGACTGATTATTCTGTGATGTAAAGTTCAGTTTGTGATTTTTAAATTGGTGCTGAGATTTCAAATTCAGTCCCCAGTCGATCAATTTTACAGCAAAGCCATGTTTAAACCGACATTTCATTAAGTTGATTGATAATAATAATCCTTGCATTTGATATAGCGCCTTATCACATCAGAATATACTGTGAAGTGAATTGAATTGAATATACTGTGAAGTGAATTGAATATACTGTGAAGTGAATTGACCGTATATTTTGTGGGTTAAACACGGCCGCCAATTGCGTACAGCGATTAAGGCGCGTGGAAAGAAAAATAAGCAAACAAAACTGATCTAAATGTCGGAGGCATTCGCCATCCACATAAAAATGTGAAGTTGCACATAATGATTCACTATAAAGCTGCTGTTTAATCGTCGGTTTGTATGTTGCTCCCTGAATGTCTGAGGTGAAAGTTAATCTGTGCCATGGTTTGGGTTTCAGAGCATTCCGCAGTTGCCATGTGCTAAGGCCCTCTACAACTACGAGGGGAAGGAACCTGGCGATCTCAAATTCTGCAAAGGGGACATCATCATTCTGCGCCGTAAAGTGGATGAGAACTGGTACCACGGTGAGCTTAACGGCACCCATGGCTTTTTCCCAGCTACTTATATTCAGTGCATCAAGCCTCTTCCACAGCCGCCTCCTCAGGGCAAAGCACTTTACGACTTTGAAGTCAAGGATAAAGAGCAAGATAAAGACTGTTTGACTTTCACAAAGGTAAAGTAATTATGACTTTAACAGACCCACCAAATGTTTGTTTGTTTTCAACCCAGAGGTTTTCTGTGTTTAATCAGCTGGTGCTTGGGCTTCAGGGCAACTCTAGCATCTGAGTTTATGGAGAACACAATAAAACAAGATTGTTAATTCTTTAGTAGTTTGACAATATCATGCTATAATTCTGCAGCAGATTTTTTTTCATTTTCCGGAAACAGATAAGGATTTCCTTCTGATAGAAATAATAATGGTGATAGTGAAACTATCAACACATATCTCTACCATTTCATTCCATTCCATTCACAAAACATACATTCGCTCCACTTGAGAGTATGTCCTGTGAAGCACTTTGGGATGCCCTCCTGACGTGAAAGACGCTATACTAAATATAAGGATTATTGTAACAACAGCTTGCATTTATTTAGCATCCTTCACATGAGGTAGCATCTCAAAGTCTGTATTATTATTTAACAGCATCAATATCCTCCCCCAAAAAGAAATGTACCTAATGTTAACTTTATAGTACCAAATGCATGTTGTTCCCTCCGTTTGAAACTTGCATTTTTGTACTGTCTTATCATAACCGCATGTTTCAAAAGCAGTTTAACTACTGTCATGTCTAGTGACTTTTATTGGAGGTAGAAGCAACAGCAATTTTCCCTACCGGTGTATCACACACAACCACAAGGGGAATAGATTTCAGGAGAGAAGATTCCTTTTTCTTTACGAAATGTGCCATGGGATCTTTAGTGACCACCTGAAATAGGCAGATGCTTTAATGGCTCACCTGAAAGACGACATCTTGGACAGTGGAGGACCCTCCAGAACTGCTCTGGATTCTAAGACCAGATTGTGAGTTTTGTTCCGATGTGGGGATTGGGCCCAAAATCTTTTGACGTTGGGTGAGAGTACTGGCAACAGAGCCAATCTGCAATAATGTCCCCGTAGGGCAGGGCTGTGAAGTCTTCGTCAAAGAGCTCTATTGCTAGGAGGTGGATCAAACAAGAGTATTGTCATTTTTCTACAACGTTTGATCTGTGTTGCAAGTTGAAGCAGACTTAAAAATTAACTCAGTGAATTAATATGGTGCTTAACTAAAGGGGAAGAAAAAAACAATTACCCGAATATTAAAAATGAAATTTGAACGGGCCTGAGTTACCACAGAAACAGACTAATTCTGGCCAACAGTGCATATAAATACTCCGCATGTTCAGTGATTCCGTAAGGCAATGCTCCTGCAGGGAGTCAATGGCTTCCAACCAGTTCAGACCATTTGCTAAAACAGAACATGTTAATGTTATTATAACAAATAACAATAAGAAAAATTTGGTCACTCAATCCATAACTGTTTGTGGGACACTACTGTGCACGATTGACTGCCACGTTTCATCCACAAAATATAAATAAAGTATACAGTATATTCTGTGAGCACTTTGAGATGTCTCAACGACATGATAAGGCATAATATCAAATGCAAGGATTATTATTATTATGGTTAGTATTTCAGAAAGAAGCTAGTTTACTGAATCCAATATTCTTTTAGGATTCAATCCCTCTCGTCCTCGCCCCTTCCTTATTCTGTATCATCAATTTTGTTGTTGTTCTGTTGTGGCTTGGTTCTGAATTGGAAAATGACCTTGGGCTGAATGTCACAGAGCAGCTCAAAATTCAGGGCGGCCATGGATTTGGGGAGATCACTCACAAATACCTTGTGCCTAATAGCATGGCTGTAAAAATTAATCAAAACAGACGGTGGTATCATGTTTCGTGAGGTGATGTGCTGAGATATTAAGCTACTGACAATGGGCAGCAAAACAATTCTCCCATTGTTGGGTGCGCAGAAGGGAACAGCCATAAGTATCCCTGAAGTAACCAATGTTCAGATGAGATGTTATCGAGACCCCGTCCGTCTTTTCAGGTGGAAGTTAAAGATCCCGCGGCATTATTGGAAAAGAGTTTCTCCCCGTGTCCTGGTGAACAATCCCCTACGATTCCAAACTATGTGGTGCTCCCCATCTGGTGGGAGGGGAGGCGTGATGAGATTACTGGATAAGATTTTTATTTTACTTTACCCAAGTCGGGGCGGGAGGGAAGAACCCGACTGTGAGGAGAGGCCAGCTTTGGAGAACGGAGAAAAAAAGGAGAAAAGAGAAAATAAAACACCAGTTCGTCCTGTTCCATCTGGTTCAAATATCGGTCACTTACCAGCAGGGAACAGAGACCAAGGGGGAGATGAGTCCGTACCTCTCAAGGAACACACAAACATGGTGTTTTCTAGAAGGACAGTGGTTGTAGGGGATATTAATGTCTGAAGATGGAAGGGGTGGGTGGGTGGGGGTGTGGGGCGTAGTGTGAAAAGTTTGGAACCACTGCCTTAGATAAGAATTGGTCATTCACATCACCACTGTTTGTTGTGCACTACTTGTGGGTAAATTGGCTGCTACGTTCGCCTACAAATATGCCACACTACACCTTTCGGTAAATCCTGTCAAGCATTTGGATACATTTCAACGATGTGATAAGGAGCTAAATCCAATGCAAGGATTATAATTACCGCAGAACCTCACTACTTTCTCTACCTCTTCAGTAGCCTGCGGCTGCTCGTGCTACAGCTATTATCAAAGCTGCAAATCAGAACTTTAATCTCTGGGCTGATGAGTTAAGCAGTTAGTCCACTTACGGGCACAGAACAAAGGCAGCGGGAACTACTAGAGGCATGTTTATATTGACTGCTGGTGTTTATATTGGGATGTCCTCCCGATGTGAAAGGCGCTATATAAATGTAATCTATTGATGTTGGTGGTGGTGATGTTACTGTCTTAAGGGAGGGAGTGGGGTGCACATTGACTTCTGGTGTTATTGTCTCGGTGGTGAGGAATCTGAATTGGCTTATAACTAGAACGTGCATAAATCCTGAGTGAAACCAGCTGGTCCCTTGTGTTCAGCGCTATTTCAGAGGAACCGAAGCAATTACATTGCTCAAAACATTGCTAACAATATGGATTTATGTAATGATTGTCTCAAATCACTTCAAAAAGTGAAGGGGAATGACCGAGCAGGGCGGCAAAGGCGGATATTTGAGAGTATTAAACATTTTTAAGAGGGATTTGAGGGGTGGGACAGTGTTGCAAGGCGAAATAATTTTGGGAGAGAGTTCCAGAAATTGGGAAAGTAGTGGCTGATGACTTGGCCACAGGGAATGGGATAAAGGGAGTGAGGAGCAAGCAGTCAGTCAATTTAACATTTAAAAGCTGCTGAAATTGCTCTCTGAGGTTGACTTCCTCCCACTCCCCTGTAGGTTCTCCCCTGTCAGCTGCCTGGATGACTCCACTCACTCTGTGGGGAATCTCATGTGTAAACTGTCGTTCTGTTGTGCAAGACACAATCACAAGGAAGGTTTGGTTGACCAAAGTCCTTCCAACGCATTTCATCTCATCCTTCCAGAATATTCACCCTCACCATCTTTCCATTTCAGCATCAAGTTATTTCTTAGGAAATCCTTTCTATTACCATTTCTGGTAATCTTTTCCAAATATTGATTACCTTCTGTATAGGAAAATGCTTCCTGGTGCCTGTTCTAAAATTGCTCTTCGCACATCTGAACCTGTGACATTTGCCCTACTGATGTGGTTTACCTGAAACCCTCGCTCTGGATTTAATTCTCAAATCCTATTTAGAGTTTTGCATACAACAACAACAACAAATTACATTTATATGGCGCTTTTTACGTCAGCCTCTGCAAGTCTCCTATGAGACTTATCTTCGCAGATGAAGAACCCCCGGGTTATCTATAACAACAACATTTATATATAACGCCCTTCACATAGGATAATGTCTCAGAGTCTTATCTAATGTCTTATCTAATCATGCTTCACCCTTATTTAAAATGTGTATGTATCGCACATTCGGCTGGCAAGTTGGGTAAAAGATATAGACTTGCATTTACCGCTTCCCCGCTTATCTGGATAAATTGGAGTGGATTCACAGTGAAGCGAAACACATTTAAATCTCTGTTGTCACCAATGTGATGGAAACTGACACGTACTGTAAACAGGGCAGATTTGTCAGCATCAGAAGCCCACAATAACGCTCCGCTGCTCTCTGTAGAAATTCCACAATATAAATGAGGCATTGTTTGGTGTGTGTGTGTGTTTGTGGAGGATGCCCAATTAAACCATGTTTGGCCTGTCTGCCTTGTTAGGGGTTCACACAAAGACGGGAAGTACTCTGTACTTAGAGGTAAACAGTCAGTGCTACTCAAGGCAAAGATGAAAGCAACTTTAATTATAATGGAAGCAAATGTTGTGAGACTTGATTTGCAAAGTACAGATCACCATGCCTTTCCTTTGTACTCCAGCCTCAGTTACAAAGCACATGGATCCATTGTGAAGTTTCAGGTAACTTTGTTTCAAATATATTTTTGTCCTCTTTGTTTCAGGATGAAATTCTGACCGTCATCAGGCGAGTGGATGACAACTGGGCAGAGGGAATGTTGGGAGATAAGATAGGAATATTTCCTATCTTATACGTTGAGGTGAGTCTGGTTAAATCTTCACGCCCGGTACAGTGAGTCATTTGGGTCTATAAGATACACATGGCTAATTATAATCATCTTTTTATTTCTTTATTATGGGTCACAAAGATTGTGGTTTCAAGCCCCATATCAGAGCGGACAGTCCAGTGCAATGCTGGGGGTATGCTGTTTTGTTGGAAGTGCCATCCTTAGGTTGAAACGTTAGACCGAGGTCCTGATCACTGGTTCAGTGGAACATTAAAGATCCTATTGCACGTGTCTGGCTTGTGGAGTCCTGTAGCTCAGTGGTTAGAGTACTCGCTTTGCAAGCGAGAGACCTGAGTTCAATTCCAGGCAGGGCGGAACCTTGGGCAAGTTTCCTTACTCCACACGCCTAATAATAATACCTCCAAAACCAAAAACAATAATAAATTGGTCATTTTCAATCTACGACTGTTTGTGGGACATTGCTGTGCGCAATTGGCTGCTGCGTTCGCCCACAAATATACAGTCAATTCACTTTACAGTGTGTTCTGTGAAGCGCTTGGGACGTCCTCCCGACGTGAAAAGCACTATATCAAATGCAAGGATTATTATTATTATTATTACTAACTCCCGAAAAATGATGGTCACTCATTTCATGGTTGCTTGTGGGCCATTGCTATGTGCAAATTGGCTGCTGTGTTTCCCTACAAATAGACAGTCTGTACACTTCAGAGTAAAATCCTGTGAAGTGCTTTGAGACGTCTAGACGGTGTGATAAGGAGATATGTCAAATGCAAGAATTATTATAAGATTATTATTATTCCGACTTGCCTTCAGTGGCTTGAACTACAAGACAAATGAAGTGGCAACACCATCTCTGGAAGCATTGAATACTGAGTCCAGTTTTCTTCTTGCCTCTGGAGATAGCAAGGTAAATGGGGCCAGCAGTTTTTACATTGCATTGTTCGTCTCCTCACCAGAGAATTTAAGTTTACGTCAGTAAGTGGGGCAAGATCGCAGCATCAGCAGCCTCAGTGTACTCTACTTCAGAACCAATTCTATTTTAACCAGTTCTGAAGTAACCTGCAAAAAAAGTAGGGCATAATATATAACTTTGTTTTCTATTGGAATACAATATCGCTAGCCTTTTTTATTATTCCCATCTGCCTGTTCAGGTGGATGTTAAAGATCCCATGGCACTGTTCAAAAAGAGAAGGGAGTTTCTCCCGATGTCCTGGCCAACAATCTCCCAAATAAAATTGGTCTCTCACTTCATGGATATTGTCTGCCACATTTGCCGAAAAAAAATACACAGTCAAGACACTTCACAGTAAAATCCTGTGAAACGCTTTGAGACGTCTCAAAGGCGTTATACGGCTACATATCAAATGGAGGGATTATTTTTACATATTATTAGAACTTTCCATTTTGGTGGGATTGAATTTCCTATATTTACAAACAGGATTTGTTTTGTTAATTGCGACTACCACTTTGTGAATGTCAGATTGAGTATTTCATGATGAAATGTCAGTCTTTAATTTCGGCTGCTGGCTTTGATTCGCACTTTGCCAACTTGGGCTTTGCGACTTGCTGGTCACAAATCTGATATTCACGTACCAGAAGTTGCGATTTAAACACCAAATCCGGTTTCCCAATATCACAAGTCAGACCTTGGCACTGACATAGCAATGTAAAGACGGCGGGCCTAAGTATTGAACTGGAACAACTCAGGACAGCTGCTGAAGGTCTTAATTGTATTGTATTACCAGGTTATTGACTCCTATGTGTTTATTACGTGTGCAGTGCAAATGAATGGTTCAGAAAATTTCAGCAAATTTCAAGTAGGTGCTACGACAGATGGCTTTGTGTATCTAAGGTCAGCTGCATTTTGAAACTTTGATTGCAGTCTGGAATGATTCTGTAAAACCAGTTTTCCTGCATTAGACTGATTTCTGACACTGCAGTCCTTATCCCGCTCCCCCCACTACCTTGTGAATATTTTCAATATTCGACAGCTATGCTTTTCAGCCTTGCAAGCAGATGGGATCTTATGGAGGTCTATAGCATGCTGATGAGATAAATAACTAATAAATAAAAACAAGGCCATTGTGGTGGTGTTATTGCTGCGTCTTTCTAAATTAATCCCACTTTTTCATCTCTTTTCTAAGATTTCTTGATGTTTTTACTCTTCAACTACGTATTTAGTTTTCTTTTGATCTAGCCTCAGTAAGGATAGAGAATGTATAACTATAACAATACTTTTGGATGTACCAAAGCATCAGGGCAAGAGTACACAGGTTCAGGGTTGAGAAAAGCAATTTGGAGCAGGTACTTTCCATGTCATGTTGTGCAACATACAGGAAATTGCTCTTCCCACAGGGAGAAATCAGTAGCTAGAGTAGGAAAGAGGAGAGCATTTAAGATTCATTTAAGAATCTGTTTGACTCTGTATTGGGAGGGTGGAATATCTGAATGAATGAAATTAAAAAGAACAAAGAATCTCTCTTGTGGTCATATCTTCTCGGTTCTGCATTTAGCCCTATATGTGGAGTCCTATAGCTTAGTGGTTAGAACACTTGCCTTGCATGGTTTAATTCCTGGCAGGGTGAAATGTTGGGCAAGTTTCCTTACTCCACATGCTTCTGTTTACCTAGCAGTATGTAGGAACAGAGTTGTTAATCAATTGGCGGATCGCTTTTCCGGGGGTAAATAAATCCTTCAAAAAAAATAATAAAATGATCGCTTCAATCCATGACTGTTTGTGGGACACTGCTGTGCGCAATTGGTTGCTACATTTCGCCCACAAAACATACAGTCCATTCACTTCACAGTATATTCTGTGAAGCGCTTTGAGACATCTCGAAGACGTGATAAGGCGCTATACAAATGTAATCTTGTTGTTGTATATCAAATGCAAGGATTATTATTATTATCTGAATGTGTATGTTGGATAGCATCTTCAAAAAATAACTGGATTTTAATCAGTTTAGGATTACTTTTGGAGGATATACTAATAATAATCCTATTATTGTCCAAAATTATACAATAATTGTACAAACCATAGGGACACTCAGAGAGGAAAGGATTCAACATACAAATGAAACCAAAATAGCTGAGCCGGGGTAAGGTATTATACAAAGAGGTGCATGTGGCTAAATGTATAGTGATTGGGCCAAGGCCTGCTCAATTTTAGTTCATGACTTTTGTACTGGGAAAGGATGAAACCAATCCACTTGGCATGATATCAGCATGGCTAAATTGTATGCCAAAGGGCCCACTGCTGCTGCTGTACAGGGGTTTACAGTGCTCCTGTTACCGACTTTTCAGAGACTGGGAAATTCTGAAATATTGCAGAGTGTAAGTTGTGACAGGGGGAAGCTGACCATTCAAACTGGCGTATTTTAGATTAGAAATTGAAGAAATTAAAGCAGTCTTCATTTGCCTACTGTAGCAGCAGAGAAGCATGATTGAGTGTGTATGTGTGCGTGTGTGTGTGCGTGCGTGCATGTGTGTGTGCCCGCGAGCACGTGTGTCACCCTGGTCAGCAATCCCTCCAGCTTATAAAAAAAATTGTTCATTTTATTTCATGGTTGTTTGTGGGGACATTGCTCTGACCAAATTGGCTGTCACCTACAAATACACAGTTACTAAACTTCACAGTAACTCCAGTGAAAAGCTTTCAGATGCCCTCGATGATGGGTTAAAGCACAATACCCAGTGAGAGAGAGACCTGAGTTCAATTCCAGGCAGGGCGAAACCTTGGGCAAGTTTCCTTACTCCACACGCCTAATAATAATCCCTCCAAAAACAAAAAAAACAATAATAAAAATTGGTCATTTTCAATCTACGACTGTTTGTAGGACATTGCTGTGCGCAATTGGCTGCCGCGTTCGCCCACAAATATACAGTCAATTCACTTTACAGTGTGTTCTGTGAAGCACTTTGGGACGTCCTCCCGACGTGAAAAGCGCTATATCAAATGCAAGGATTATTATTATTATTATTATTATAATACATGGGTATGTGGTGTATGTGTCTGTGTGTGTGTATGTGGTTTGGCTCACTTGTGCTAATAGTGGGAAATATAAGTGCAGCTCCTTCCCAGTAAACTTTACTCCATGCCATGCAACAGTGTGCTGTATCCCTAATGAGCACAACTCAAGAAGGATGCTCTGAAGCATTGAGAACACAATAGTATGGGCATTGATGTCGGGACTGGATCCTGAATTGAATTCTGGCCATTCTTTCAAACTTTCCATGTGAGATGTATTCTATTTTTAATGCACTGCTGTGCATTAACCATGAGAGTGCTCCATGTCCTTGCTACATGATGATACTTGCACCCAATTGAATTTGACATCATTGCTGTGAACCTATTGACAGGTAAGCTCCTGCTAGTCACGTTTACATTCCATGCCCTGTACACACTGTATTGTACTTATTGTAATCTCCTACCCCAGTTTCCTTGTAAAGCTGTACAATGTCCACAGAGGAAAGAAAACAAGAAGCATTGAAAAATATGCTTGGCACTGATTCAAAGAGGAAGGGTGGGAGAGGTTGAGTATACTTCCTGCTCAAAATGATATGCATCAATGAAGGCCAGAGTGCTCTATTATCAACGTTTTGAAGTTTACGCCAAATTGTAACAATCCCACAGCAAATCACTTTCATGGAGCCGCCTCATTTCTGGATGTAAAATGCATAAACTCGTGATTTAGGTTCTCACCGTGCGCCACACAGTGTTTGTGAATGCAATCACACATGGGATTGGTCCCTCTCGAGTGTATGTTTCAGTCCTCTTGTTCAGTCGTTCAGTAAGTGGCAGCCACCATTTCTTCAGATGGTTCAGGATTCAGGCAGAAAGTGCATCAGCTGAATTTCTGTTCTATCTTTAATGCTTTGAAAATAGTATTTGAAGAGCGTTCCACCCAATGACCTTGGTATGTTGAGATGTAAATAATGGATGGATAGTGACTAGAGTAGTTGGTTCCAGTGGAGGAGGCAGCTACAGCACAGGCTCGATGGCCCTAATGCTT